CTAGTTGCTACCTTCGATTAGCCCATGCTGTGATACTATCAGCCACCCACCTGCGAGGTAGGCCTATTTATAGTTGGCCTAAATCAAAAACAAACGTTTGCGTAAATGCTATTGACATTGTATCCCCAACGTACAAAATCTCATATAGAGAATGAAGTTCATATTTAAGGCGCGTAAATGTTTTTCAAGTAAATTTTGCGTGCAGAATTTCACTGTTAAATTTAAGTCTTCTACGATCACACAAGTACCATCAAACACAGTTCAGTCCTTTGTTAACAGTCAACAAATCCGTGTTTAACCATCCTCTTGAGGGTCAAAAGGTTATCAGACACTTACTCTTCGCACGTCAGTGGAAAGCACATTTCATGGTCCTTTCAATAAAGTGATAAAAATGGTGGGTCAGCGCTGAAACAAAAAAGTTTTTCACTCCCGTTCAGATTTGTGCCGCAATTCCGTATTTCCTCCTATACCTTAGGTTAAGGGGGAAATATTCCCCCTCCGTTTACACATCTTGACCTTTGACCTTTGACTCCCAATTTGGTCATCCCGAGTCTTTTTTACGATCCCCCCCCCCGACGTCCCGAATATCGTGACCGTACGTCGAGATTTGTTTTGAAGTGATGGTTCGAAGAAGATGTTCATGAGAAGATGTGGTTAAGATTTGTGCCCAACTGTTGACGGACACACGGACACACGGACGCACAGAAGGACGGACGCTCATGCGATTCTACAAGCTGCATCTGACTTCGTTAGATGAGCTAATAATTGTAAACCTTGTGAGCAAGTTCATCCAGTTTACTCCAGTATGCTTCTGCCGCAAACACCTCAGCCAGAACATTGATAAACCAAGAGCCTTTTTTGGGGTTTCGCATTGCTGTTACACCTGCGATCAAACATAAAAAGTATTAAGTTTTTTATGTGATGAAGTTCAATAACAACAGTTCACGGATACAAGGCCCATGATCTTTCTGTGATGTGTATTACATATTCACGTTGGTTGCTATGATCCACCGTTAAATGTATACGTTACATTTCCCATTCATAGTTGTATAATGGTAGTGCAGACAGAAGATTGTGTCAATGTGACAATTCCTTGCCTGTTTCCACATGAAATGACCTGTGACGTTGTGAACATAAAGACAAATTAATTGGGTATATCACAGAAAATTGGTTACTCTACCAGTTTACTTTTCTATTACACTACAGCGCGGCAGTAAAATAGCGCCACACAACCATCTTCATCAAGAGATTGGCCACAGCTTTTGCTAGAATTTTGTAGGTGCCGAAATACTGGTTAGTGGAGATTCAATTAGTACTATGTGGACCGAAACAGGAAAGCCCTAACAACATCAGAACTATGGCATCGAAACCACTGCATGTCGTGTAATAAGGGGTTTCGTCATAGGAATAGAGACATAGGGAATCGGACTACATTAATAGACAATAGAAATGCAGGGTCGACAGCATAGGGCAAGGAAACGGTTGGTAATCACGCAGGCGTTACAAAACACATTAGCAACGTCCTTAAGGGCGAGGAGACTCGTTCTCAGACAAGACGGGGACAGTAATAAAGGGTAGCAACCGGGACATTAACAGAAAGTGAACGTGGGAATGAGGAGAACAATTGCCTGAATACACCCGACGTAATAACACCATCCAATAACGCAACGCATAATGTGAGCGGTGCGCCATTGGGCAGACGAGGTCCATAACACCACCCAATCAGGCGAGAAACCCAATGAGGCCCAGAAGGAAACTCTCATTTCCCATGACATACCGAACCAACCGTGGTCAAAGGTCGGGTGTGATCTGTTCACATTACATGAGAAAAACTACCTCATAACCGTGGACTATTTCTCAAACGTCTGGGAAGTTGACTATCTCCCAGATACGAAGTCGTCGACAGTGATCAGAAAGTTGCGTGCTCAGTTTGCACGGCACGGTGTACCAAACACGGTAATCAGCGACAACAGGCCACAATTCAGTGTGGAGGAATTTCACAGATTCGCGAGTGAATGGAGATTTGATCATAAGACATTATCTCCAGGCTACCCGCAAACCAATGGGAAGGCGGAACAGGCTGTTAAGACAGCTAAACGACTCACGCACCTAGCCAAATTTTCAAAGACTGATCCTAACTTGGTGCTTCTAGACTTCCGCAATACCCCGTCACAGTCTATGGACAGCAGACCAGCTCAACGGTTAATGAGCCGTTGCACTCAAACGCTACTGCCAATGAAGGCAACTCGACTAAAACCACAGATTCCGAAATCTGTGTCACGTCAACTAGAGGCTATAAAGGAGAAACAGGCGCTCTATTGCAGTCGTGGCGCGAGAAACCTAGAACCGCTCACGGTGGGTGACACTGTTCGTATTGCACCTTCGCAAGGACAGAAGGAGTGGAAACAAGGTACAGTACAACAAGAGGTGTCCACACGATCGTACAACGTCGAAACGGAATCCGGAAGGATCTTGAGGCGTAACCGTCGTCATCTACGTAAATCGGCAGAGGACAAGCAGCTACGGGATGTGCAGGAGTATGAGGACATTCCGGTGACACACTTGGACACAATACCGAGTTCTCCAAGGACTCATCACTGCGAGCTGACAGGCCAATAATCGCAGGCAGTCCTCCTAAAAGACCGCCACCTGAGGTAAAGACATCTACACGCAGTCCAGTGTTTGTGCCGAGATGTGGCAGGAAGGTTTACAAACCTGTCAAACTTAATCTGTGAGACGTACAGTGCAATGATAAACCAATCATTATTCAAAGTAGCATCATGACAAGTTAATTCGAGTTTATTTTACTATAACGTTGTGTCTAGATGAGTCAGACAGTTTGAAGCATTGCAAGACTGAATTAATTTAATGTACTCAAGATAAAGGGTATAGTTACCTTCTATAGGAATCGGAAGCAAGATTTCCTTGTCTAGGTCGAGAATGTTTTTTGTTGTTGAGCAACGGTCAACGGTAATTAGTTTGAAGTTTGTTCTTTTATAAAGGAGAAAGAATGTAACAATATATAATGCTCATGCGCAGCGTTGACTCTGGCTAAGTTTAGAGGATCCGACATATAGCCAACAATGGAACATGTCTCTTGATTCGTAATAAATGCAGTTTACCGTTTAGTTTTATTCTCGATCTTATCTGCTATTCTCTCTGCATGGTTACACTCCTCGGCTAACTAAATATTGAAACAAATGTGACAATGCCTTGCCTGTTTCTACATGAAATGACCTGTGACGTTGTAAACATAACGACAAATTAAGAGAAGCCTTTTAATAGGATTGGTATATCTCAGAAAATTGGTTACTCTACCAGTTTACTTTTCTATTACACTACAGCGCGGCAGTAAAATAACGCCACACAAACATCTTCATTATGAGATTAGCCACAGCTTTTGCTAGAATTTCGTAGGTGCCGAAATACTGATTAGTGAAGATTGAATTAGTACTATGTGGACCGAAACAGGAGAGCCCTAACAACATCAGAACTATGGCATCGAAACCACAGCATGTAGTGTAATACGGCGTTTCATCATAGGCATAGAGACATAGGGAATCAGACTACAATAGAAATGCAGGGTCGACAGAGTAGGGCAATGGAACGGTTGGTAATCACGCAGGCGTTGCAAAACACATTAGCAGCATCCATAAGAGCGAGGAGACTCGTTCTCAGACAAGAAGGGGTCAGTAAGAAAGGGTGGCAACCGGGACATTAAGAAAAAGTGAACGTGGGAATGAGGAGAAACGATTGCCTGAATACACCTGACGTAATAACACCAGCCAGTAAGGCAACGCATAATGTGAGCGGTGCGCCATTGGGCAGACGAGGTCCATATAACACCACCCAATAAGGCGACGCGCATAATGTACCTATTACATTGTTAAAATGCTAAAATAGCTAGACCACTTACACAGCTTACCCATAAGGACACACCTTTTCTGTGGACTTCTGAAGCAGAGAATGCTTTTCAATAAGGTAAAATCAAGATTTATTTACATGTAGAAGGACTGAGGACCCCTTCCTCCATTAGAGAACTGGTTGTATGCTTATGATGACATTGATATTTGTGAATGGCTCCTGATCTCCTTCTCCTAATTGTGCAGAGGTGAACACTATTTACTTATGGTTATTTTAATTAGAAACTTACCTGGAGTTGTTGAACGAAATACTATATAATCACTCAAGTTTGGTATCCGTTTTGTCTTTTTTTCAGTTTTGCGTTGTTTACTAGAGTCAGGCTGAATATGTAAGAATGATGCAGGATGTGGTGCGTCTGCTTTCAACTTTTCCATCGACTCTTGTGGCTGATCATTGCCCCCATGCACATCAATCGATTGAGGGCTTAGGCAAATCCCTTCATTCGTACGGTCTAAATAAAATACAAACCACGCAAGTGTTCAATCTTACCATGCACATACACAGAGCTTTTAAAGTCAAAATAGTTGCAGCGTTCACTCATATATATATATATTCATGAGCCAACTGTTATAAAGGAAGACCCAGAGCAAGAAAATTAACCAAATGCTGCTTTATTCATATTTATAATAGGCACTACAGACCTTTACTTATATACTAGTAGGTAATTTATTTTTTATATCATTCGCCAAATTTTAAATTGTTTTTATTAGCAACCATAAAGCTATTGAGAACCTAATACATGAATGTGGAATTGTCATGTTTGGAAAAATTAACATATTAGAGAGTATATTAATAAATATGGCACTAGAACTATGAAACTAGGACAACATCTACAAAATATAGCTATCACAAATTGACCTTTTTAGACGGTCATTTGTCAATACTATAGGTAATATTGCATGTACATGTGCAAGCGACTCAGCATGCATTCCTATATACTTCATACCTCCACGACACTCTTGAAGAATGAACAACTTGGGTTTCTGCATTAGACCCGGTGCATTGTGTCCTGCCAATAGAGCACGGAAACAGGTAACCTTTTTTTGTGATCTTCAGGGATATGCTCACAATACCTAAATTCGACACGTTCGTTATTCATTGTTAATGAAAATTCGCTTTATATTACAACTATGTAACCCTCTACTAAATACTTAACGCAGAAGGTAGATTAAATTTTTTTTACCTTCGAATAGACGAAGAATGTCACCAGAAAATGAAAGCTTTTTGTCGTCTGCTCCAAATATCACGTCTTCCGCACCACCATGGCTTAAGATGGCAACAATGCTCGAGTCGACACTGTTGTGTTTGTCACTAGCAGCAAACTTTTGCACAACATTTGTCATTACCTACGAGAACAAAAACTAATCACTTCGGCAAGTCATTCCTTGGTGAAGTCGGCCATCTAGTCGCTGGCCAGCTTATTTTCCACTCAGGCAGTTTGCTTATAAACCATCATAAATTTAATAAAATAAAAAATAGCTAAAACCAAAAATATATGACCTCTTGTATAGCCATTGTTTAATTATAGCAAAATAAAATAACAGCTTAGTTTATTGTCTCTGTAATATCTTTGCCATGTCAAGAACGTCACAAATTGTGTTTTGGCTTAAATAACCTCAGCGGTTCTTGAGTATGCTTTGTTTGGTTGTTAGTAGAAACTATAGTAACAACTTGTCGATTACCTGCGCAGTCAAATTACTTGTGTTTGCTTGTGTGTCCCACATCTCATAGCCAAGCTCTTTAAATAGTTGACGCAGAGTCTCTACATCTTTCTGCGATCCCTCCCGGGTAGACAAGCCCTTGAATTTTTCATTATTAATGATCAAGCAATATCCACGTGGAGTCGAGTTGTTTTTGTAGCTATTTGTCTGCAAAATAACATAATATTAGTATAGAATTGCAGTTATTTTATCGCTCAGATAACAGGTCTATTATTGCACATTGCATAGACTTATAGCTCAGTAACTGCACGT